TTTTTATGGGCAGATAATTTTATCATTAGACTATATATATATATATATATAAGTATATATATGTGTGGTTTCTGTATCCAGTTTGAGTGACAACATGTAAGAAATGAAAATTTTTTCAAAAGGAAAATTGGAATTTGGTATCATGTTTTGGCTGCAACTTCAAAAAGTCTGCGGCCTCTCACTCTCATGATTAGCATTTGACACACCGAGACCCCATCTATATATATATGTATATATGTACGTCATATATTATCAATGGCTTCCACATTATTTTTTATTATATTGACTTTTGGTACTGCACATTTTTATAGTGACCGATCCCTATTCTTGTATTCTCACATACTGTGTACAGTACGTTTCTTCGCTTATCATATATATACACTACATACTGTAGGTTTATCTTGTAAAACAATATAAATTGGGTGGTAAATATATTCTTTCCAAAAAAATATTCCAACTATCAAATCAGTATAAACATTTTGTAGAGTACGCAATCGATTATATCATGTCTATTATGAAATACAGTGTGTGTATACATACCTAACTCTTGGATGGTAATACAAAAAATATATTCAGACATGTTTACAAAAGAGAAAAAACACAGGTTCAAAGAAAAACAAAATCTTGCACGATTTGCAAAGAATAAAAGTTCATATTTCTCTCTAGAAATTCCATAAGGTCTTTGGTCATGGGTGTTCTAAAATTCAATGCTTATAATTCTGCATATCTTATGTAGATTCAATCTCTGCATGAAAAACATTTCTGCTAATTTGACTTGACCTCTATAGTTTCATATGACAAAGTATAGAATGTTGTTTACTCCAATTGTCATTCTCGTGTCCTATGCAATGACAAAACACATTGAATTAGACTTATGTATAGTGTAAGAAAAAATGTTGTAACGTAATAAAAATCTTCTCTAACTCGTAGATATATATATATATATATACATATATAATATTAGTAAAGTACTTCTCATTCATTTTTATTCAACATTGTGCCTTCGAATATTTTTAGGGATCAACATATAAAAATTTGTTAGAGGTATGATTATATATTACTTAAATGTAGCTCAGTTTACCTCCAACAAAATTTCATACAATCTTAATAGTTAATATATCTTTTATACAATTCAGTCGTTATACAATTATAATTATTATTTATATTATATTTTAAGCGTTTTAAAGTATATTAAGTTATTGAATGTTATCATTGCACCTTTATAAATATACATACTTAAAGAAATACACAACAAATATCAGTTGTATAAACTTTTTCAGAATTGTATTTCTTGAATTTTTTCGTTGTTTTTTTTATAAATACCATTATCTAGAACTTTTTAACTTGATTATCATGTCAAAGTAAAGTTTTGTACTTCACCTTCTATCTTATATATAGAGCTTTCGTGACTCTTTTTTTGAAATTGTGAAGCTTTTTTTTATAGTTCAAGTTGATGTATACGAGCTTTGTCATTGCTACAAGAGGTGTATGTTTGTTCACTTATAATGTTTATACTCAGAGATTAATGAAGATGGTTTAAAGTGCTCTTTTCCCCATGATAAATGGACTTGTCCTTTACGCTGTAGTGTTTATGGATGATGATAAATATCTATTATATGTATGAACATGTTTTGAGTTTGAAAGATGTGATATACATATTTGTAGGGATGCATAAATTACCTTTCTCATTTTAGAGAAGGTGGCGAAAGCACAAGTTCTTCTATAAAAATTGAAACAAATAGCTCAAATTACAGTAACACATTATTTGAAGAGTTAATTCTGAAAGTGTGTTTCATATGTTAATTTTACATACGTTCATTATTTTTGAACTATGAATGTGTTGATAAATGATATTATACATCTAATTAGTACTTTTGAAACTATTTTTTATCAAATTGAGTATTTCGGCAATCTTATCAGTTCGTATATGATTTGATTAGAAAGATAATATATATAAATACGTAAAACTAGTAACCTTCGTCCTTTGTTATTATTCTTTGTTGAAAAAGGACTATCTTTATAATCAAAGGTCTTATCGAATGAGAATTTAAAAAATAAAAAATATAATTTTGAAGCACATAAAAGCAAACGAGACAATATTAACATAGTCTCTCACTTTGATATTTTTTTGGAGGTTTGTATATATATATATATATAGTATATCTTCAATATTGACCTTAGTTTTGGCATTTTAGTCTTTACGACCTTATCTTCTATAATAAAATTATTAATTTTTCAAAAAAAAAGAAGTAATTATTATAAAGACGAAATAATGAGAAAATGAAGAGTAAAAGTTTAGAAAAAGTAGAAATGAGTTAATTTTCTCTCAAATAATAAATTCAAGAGTAAATTGTCAAATTATACAGTCTCATTCATATAAAAAGAAGAAAAAAAAACCAAGCAGCCATGGACACCCCTGGTTTCAACCATGTATATCTCAGTGTATCTCCTCAGATATATAGTGATTATATCTACTAATTATGGCACTTGTAACAAACCCATCTCCACTCCATTTATGCCCTCAATTCCTATCTATGGCAATCCCCAAAACAGATAGAACAGAAGCAAAGCAATTCACTTCTTGGCAAGAGCTAATAAAATGAAACTGAACATTGAAAGATATCAAGGAAAATTATATATATATATAGGATACTATATATGTATGCGTGACTCCCGTAAGTCAGAAATGTGCATTAAATGGTCTTACCGGACATGATCCGTTCTGCTATATCAATAGATATTTAACCTAATACAAAGTATAAGTACAGTGATGAGATACTGTAAAGTTTGATTCATGGGTGATGTTTATCTATGAAGGCGGGAAGTAGGTCTTGCAATAAGTCATATTGATCTGGAATCTGAAGCTGTGGATGTTGCAGAGGTGGAGTGAAATTCTGGTGATAGAACATGGAACTGGGTTCACCATTGCCTGTATTACTGTTTGGTGTAGGAAGCAAGTGAGTTAGTAGAAGCTCCTGAGGGAAGCTGGGGGCAACCGATAATGCTGATCCGGTGAGAAGAGACGGTGAGAACATTCCAGCAGCGCTGCCTCGGAGAGTCGCGGGACATTGATGGTTATGCTGACCTTCATAGGTTGTAATCACAGTTGATGGGTCTTGAAATGATCTTTCAACTCGTTTCTTCACCATGCATTTTTGGCTGGTGCATCTGTAATAACTCCTGCTTCACCAATAATTCATACATTATATATGTCAATACAATAATAAGCATATTAATTTTTTAAAGACTTCAAACTTTCCGCTCTTAACGATCAAGTTAATGAGTCATACTCCTCGGTCGATGGAGAATTCAGGAGATCTAAGTGATAAATAATTCTGTATATGGGTTGGTACCTCTTTGGTGCCCATATTAATACAACATACTATACTTATATTTCAAAAAGAAAATAACTAAGAAACTTTCTTTAATACATATACCATCCTATAATTACTATCATCAATGCATGAAACCAACAGAAGATCTAAAAAAAGCCTATATAGATATCGCTTCTATTGTAAAATTATAATTAGGTGTATAAGTTTTGAGCTTTATATTGATGCTAAGTTTTCTTTTTTTTGGATGATATTAAGGGTTTATGAGACTTGTGGAATCCAACTTTAGATCATTAAAATCGAAGAACCCTTCATTTTAATGTTCATATGATGATTAGAAGTTCTTGTATTATCTTGAAAAGGCGCGTACTTTAATATGTACGCATATAAGTTGGTAAATACTGTGAGGCATAATTATAGAATTTAATCAGAAAGTCACCAACTTTATCAGTTAAAATAAATGTTCAATAAGTACATATGTATGTATATGATTTTCAGGGAACTGGGTTTTTTTTCCTTATGATGTGTTTGATATATATACATATCAAAGTGACAATCTCGATATATATATGTATAGAAGTATAGTAGATTCAATGTAAGAGCAGAAGGAAAGTGACAACCTTGGATAAGGACTATTTTTGACTGCCTTCTGTCCATATTTTCTCCATCTATATCCATCTTCAAGATGATCAATCTCGCTCTTGGTCAAAAAAGCAAAACGTGGTTCCCGTTGCCGTTTCTCCTTTTTCGGCTTGTTCATCCTGGATCATCAGCAATTATAATTATATATTACACCAAAAAAATAATTACCCATATTTGCACCGACCACTTCCATGACAAGAATTAGGGTTTTCTACCTCCTCTCTCTTGTTTATGAGGAAGAAAAATACTAATCAATATAATCCATTTCTCTAGGACCATACAAAAGGCCAAAACAAAGAAAAATCAACTGATACACACACACACACACACACATATGTATATGTATATCTGTATTATAGCAGGATTCCTGTTACTGAAAGTTATGGATGCAGCTTAATTAAGTATCCTATTAAAACATACAAGTTGAATATTATACGCAAGGAAAAAAAAATAGTAAACAAAGAAAGCTAGTTTAGTAGCTTTCCTATATTCCTCCAGAAGACTTTTGAAGTCTACCTCAGTGATAGAATATTGAATTTAAAAACATTAGATTTATAATTAAACCCATTAATCTTGAACAGATCGGTAGAAGGATATATACAAGGAAGCTGAGAAAAATTAAACCTACATTTTCTTGGACTTGTCATGATCTCCGTCTTCAGACCCCTTAGACTGCTTCTCTTTCTTACTACCATCTTCATCGTTCGACGAGGAGGAAACCGAAGAATTGGGTGTGGAAGGAAGATGATCAGAATGATCGGCAGCCGCCGCAGGGTTAATCTTGTTTGGATCAGCAATAGTTTGATCTTGGAATTGAGAAATGAGTTGAGAGGAGGAAGAGCAGGATATGTCAAAAGCTTTAGAGAGAGTGTTGTAGTCCATGGTTGAGTTGGCTTGTAAGCAGTCAGTAAAGGTGATGAAATTAGAGGAAGGATCAAAATCATTCTGCAACTGGTTTTGATCTTCAAAGAATTGAAAGGTTGAAGAAGGTGATGATCTGTTGAATCCTTGGTGAGAATCGTAGTTGAAAGGATCATAGTGGCCATGGTGGCCATATGGGTTTTTCTTTTCACTTGACATGGAGAAAAACCCAGAAAACTTTCACTGTAATTCAGATTCTCCAAACAGAAAGTTGAGAGCTTGATTTTGTAAAGATTTTTTTTTTTTTTTTTTTTTTGGGTTTTATTGGTGTATAATATGAGAGAGAAAAGAGGGTAGGTTTGTCTACACTGATATGAAATGTATTTTCTTTTTTTTTTCTCATTTAAAAAATAATATATGTATATGTATATGTATATGTATATATGTATATATATATATATAAAGGAAATAGAACGAGGAACCTTAAAAATTGGGTTGAGATAATTAAATAAATTAGTGGGAGAAAAAGGAGAGAGAGAGAGAGAGAGAGAGAGAGAGAGAGAGAGAGAGAGGCTTGACCACCGGCTATAGGCAGTCACAGTCACGTGATTAAGGCATATAAGAAAGGTGAGTCAATGATTCCAGCTTTGCCGTTTTAAACTTTTGAAGCATCCGGCTTACACGTGTCTTGGAACAGGCACCGGCATTTGACCGTAGGTGGCACGTGGGAGCCATTTAGAATGCTTTTCCATCCACGACCAATTATTGCTTATACACCACATGTATACACGCTACATGTGTATGTATAGATGTGGGTATGTTATGGCAGACGTTAAAGTTTCGGTGACTAGGATTTGGCGTCATCTTGGATCATCCAATCTCGGTTGCCATCCCGAATTTTATGGCACCTTTTTTGGTGGTTAGTCAAAACATTTACATACATAAATTTCCTCTCTATAATCCTTAGTGTTCTTGGTTTGGTCTTAATATTCCATGTTTGTGCATGTGTTATATTACTATATCCTTACATGTTACTATAATTCCCTTTTTTACTTTAAACACTATTTCGAGAAAATTAATCCCTAAAGCATGCACAATCAACACAAAGTAAAAACAGAAAAGAAAACAATGTAAAATTTTACGTGATTCGATAGTGTGTTTACATTTACGGACAAAACCAACGAAAAAAAATATTATGGTATGATCAAAAAATAGTACAATACCCATAAGTTATGTTTTCTATAATACACATAATTTTTTATTTCTATGATAATTATAAAAATATCATCATGATTAAAATTATTAGAAGTTAAGACGTATCGACAAATTTTTTATTTGGCTTGAATTCATATCAACGTCAAATGAAATGACATTTTTATCGTTCTGTCTTGCCATAGTGCCCGCTCGATGGCACTGGTGAGTATTACATATTCCAACTAAGTATAGACAATGTCTACACTGTATTCTTACGATTAAAATTATCATAATTTAAGTTATATCAACAAACTATACTGTTACGTATATTTTTATTTAAATATTATTTATGATGTGTTATGATTTATGTATATATATATATATATATATAAGGTAATTGATGAATTTATATATTTCAACTATAAAAAAAAATTATATATATAAAATATGAACAAATATTTTTATCATAACAAATATTATAATTTTGTCAATAATAAAAATAGCAATAACAGCCGTAGTAATTTTTCTTAATAATTAGATTAATTTTGAAAATAGTCATTTTAATCTTTTGGAAAATACTACCAAAATTAAGGTGGATATTATCTTACTCTACACATTAAAAAATGTTAAAATATAAATTTAGTTCGTGTACTATTTTAATCTTTTGGAAAACACTACCAAAATTAATTTAGTGTATCTCTATTAGTAAATATTAGCACAATTAACTTTAATATTTTATTGACGTGTGGTAATTTTTAATTAATTCAAGTTGAATGTCATGTCAGAAATCATGTGATATTGACTTAATAGCAAAAAAGTTTGTATCTGAACAGGTTTAGACCGATTCAAAAATAAAAAATACATATATAAATACATACGATGCTACCCCATCCCTTTCGAACATCTTCTTCAATTGTTCCTAGTATCCATATTTTTTAGTGAGTTACATTTTCTAGCTCTGCTCCTACTTTGCCACTTGCCTTCAATGTCCCCGCCAAGTTTGGTGTCATTTTTTCCTTTAATTGTTCGTAATCTTCTCCAGACTCGGATGATAATGACAACAACAATGATGGTGATGACGAATTTTTCATCAGTGAACTATATGACATTGTTCCAGCCACTAGCCAAAAACAAAAGAGATCATTATAATCATCAAATCAGAGAAGTAAAGACAATGACAGGATGATAGAGT